TGAATGGAGAGATAGGACACATGCGTGGAGGCATGAAAGGTTGTATTCCAGGGTAGTATGAGTAAAACAGGACCCTCACTTCCTCCACTCAGTAAATTGATGAGCTTCTGGACGAATGACTAGTGAAGACCAAGGCCAGAGATGCTCTCCTCTCAATCCAGCCTTGCATGGCTGGGACACATAATTGCCCTTCGTACTTCCACTTCTACTGATTCAAAGAATCCCATCTTCCTTCTTCCTCTTTTTGTTTTACTATTGCTCAAAATTCACAAATACTGACAAATTTCGCACTTCCTAATACTTTTTAAAAATAAACATTGAGTGAATGAATGTGTGAGAGAAAGTGATAACACAATACTTATGGTGTGCTTCAATCGTATGAGATGCGTCTTTGCTCAACATAATCTACACTTGCATCACTTTTAGTTGCAACTTAATTCCACTTCCTGCTTTCGTGCTATGCAAGATGATCAGCTCTTGCATTCTGCACTAACAATTGCAGGTTATGTTCTTTCCTCTAGAAATTTCATGTCTCCAATTTCCTATCTATTATAAATTTAATTCCTCTCCTATAGTTGTGGAATCAAAACTATAGTTTTGTGAAGCTATGTACTATAACTGAAATGTAATAATTTTTATCGACTTAGTCGAAATTTCTTTTTGTTGAAAGGCTTGTTGGCGCCGCGATTTGCTACGGTGAAACTGAGATATTATTATTCCGGCTATGATGTAGGAACCAAAGATAGAAAAGTTTCTCATGCAAATAAGTGGAGGGCAACAATTGCAGAGAGAAGTAGGAAAGCAAAGGCAGGAAGGCAGATTATTGTCGATATCGGACTACGTCATTTGCAATATAAGGGGATCTATAATTTTTCGAGCGGTGACACAACATGTTTCTTCAGTTTCTTACAACCGTCTAGAAAGCAGATCTTCAAGAAATCAGAACCTGTTTTCCTCTGGTGGTAGCTTGGGCAGTTTGTTGTGACAGCTTTTGAGTGGCATACAATTTAAAAGTCAGTCCAGTGAATGTTGAAGGGAATGAAACTTGAGGTAGAAGGTTTTGGCTGTAGAAATTAAATCTCAGGAAAATGCCAGGATGAATGCTGCTTTCGTAAATCTTATAACATACACTGGATTAAGTTGCTTTACAGCAGGTGCAGGCTTCGTTAGTTCTTCCTTATTCTGGCGAGGGGTCAGAATTTTTCATTCCTGGAATACGTTGGCGGAGAATTAATACTGATGTTTGACGCACTATGGTTTAAATTCTGCTCAAAGTCACTCAAGGAATTGATTGCACGGTGAACTTTGGCAGCATATAATTTTATCATTTCCTCTTATCTTTGATATAAAACTAATTTATAGTTATGATTTAAGTTTAGAGCCAAATCTAAATTAGCTTGTTACTGTTACTCAAAATTCAAACACAACCCGTCATCCATTAAACATAGTTCACTTTAGCTCTACCACTTGACACAAAAATTGCTGAGGAGTACAGTTTATATCCGGAATTTTTTTTAAAAAATTCTAGCTTAACGGGAACTAAAATTCTAACTTTATACTTTCCATGATTCTGTTAAACATAGCGGTGATCCCTATGCAGTCAACAGCATTCTCCACACATAATATTTTTGTACTTTTGATATCTGAATGATTTGTTCTGCATTTGGTCAGCATTTTAAGAAGTTTCACAAAGAGAAGAGCAAACATTATCACTATTTGCTGGCCTTCCTTATAAATCTAAACTACGTGGAAATGATCTTAATTCTTTACTAAAAACCTTTAAATGCTCGAGAAACTCACTAGTGATAATCATGGTGAGCGTTGAACTCGTAAAAGCGAGAATTCACTTAGTCCATATACGTCTTATCAGCATTGTTTTTTCAGGGTATACGTTTGCAAAAAAGAAAAAAAAAAAACGAGAAAAACTTATAGTTTACTGCTCCATGAACTTCAATTTCTCAGCAGTTTTTGAAGCCATTGTATCTAGTTTCTCATTTATTACTAAAACTATTATTATTATTATTATTATTATTATTATTATTATTATTATTATTATTATTATTATTATTATTATTATTATTATTCACTTATTATTATTATTCAATTATTATTATTGAATCATTATTATTATATTAATAATTAATTACGTTAGTAATATGTATTATATTAATAATAATCATAATAATTACTATCAGTAATTAAGTTACGAAATTACGTTCTGAGAATTATAATAAGACATTTGAAATTAAATTGCCATCATTGCAACCATCCTGGTTACTTTTTTGTTTATGAATTATTCCATTTTTGATACCCGAAGCGTTATGCTCTTAACTAAAGTGTTAAGTTATTTAAAAATCCATCAAGTAACCAGAAACTACTCTATAGCTGAAGCTTCGAATATACGATTTCGCTCCAAAAATGTGCAGTAATTTCTTCATATGCGCACGCCATCGTGTGCTGAGATTTGAAGCGCGACATGCAAGTTCTTCATTGAGTCGGCTTTAAATGATTCTTTTGAAAACCATTAATTTTAGATTAAAGTAAATAATGCAAACATTTATAAGTTTTATACGAGTAAATAACTATGTTGGTTATGTTTGATAACTTTTTTAATTATTGGCATTTGAGTTACGAATTAGGACGAAACCTTTAGAAATATTGTCAAATATTTACAACTTTGTGCAACAGCCCTGATGTTTTTCTTTGCTCATGAATATTGTTGATCGTCTTTAAAGTAAACGACAATAAAGAACCATGTTATGAAATATTTATTTTCAGAGTCTATCCCAACATTATTTTGTGGCATATCTTAGTGAGATGGACAAGTGCGACATGCAGCGGAGTGTAGAAAGCTTACGACATCAGCTAAGCATTCAGAGATTACCCGTATCACAGTCAGCTAATGAGTTCGTTTTGAATTGGCTACTTCGATTCGTTTTTACCGACTAATCATTTCCCACTTTATTCTTAACTTATCTTTGATAATTTGCAAAATTCTGATGCTAATGATTTCTTAGAATACATATCTCTGTTTTTGCTCTTAATCTACATATCTTATATAAAGTTTGTAAATTATTTTAGATTTACTAAGTTTGAGGAAAGTTTGAAATTTTTTTTCTTTAAGGTTTAATTTCGTTCTGCAACTAAACTATAAATAAATCTTCAGGTCAAATTTTCAGCATGAAAAGTGACTTTTATTGATGGTATTTTTTTTTTCAAGCAATTATACATATATACATATATATTTAAAAACTGTATTAAAACGCTTGGAATACACTCATAAATATTACATATATATGAATGCATTCCAAGTCATTTAATATAATTACTAAATGGCTTGTGGTATTCATTGTTTTATGTTGTCGCTACTGAATTAGTAATGTATGGTCAAATATTTCGAAAAATGCTTTCGCAAATGCTGGGTAGACAAATTATATAAACGTTTATTGGGCTAATAAGTTCTATTTTCAAACCTTGTCATAGTAAAGACTTAATCATTAGGAAAGAACTTTTTTAACTGTGATGATATTTATTGCAAGGAGAAAAAATTTGACTTTGCTGATAGCATAGTAAGTAAATGACTTGGTCATTTCGCTTGAAATAGTTAAACAGACCACGAAAGGGAAACTCCTATCATATCCAGAGTGAGTATCATAGGAGGAAAATGTGTGAATAATTTGGCATGTCTGATTCTTGTAGTAATAGAATTTTTAGGATGAAGCGATATATCGAAGGACAACAGGAGAACGATCCACTAGTAAATCCCGTTGATAAACGATGCAATCCTTGGGCTGAAAAATCAAAATGCCAAATTCTGTAATAAATAATTTATTGCAAATTATGACACATTGATGCCAAAAAATTCTTTATAGATCTCGAATTTTCTTCCGTAATTCATTCATTTTTTGCATTGTTAGTTATGTTATCATTTGATGTGCAATTAGTGTTTACCATTAATAATTCTGTTTTCTTTTAATTATCATATAAACTGTTTTGCGTTTTATCAAATTTATGGAGTTTCAGGCGTTCATTATTCTCTCAAATTTATTCGAAGCTCTCATTCGGTCATAATCAATATTAAGCTACCAAAGTTTGCAGATTCTTGGAAATTATGGTTAACAAAGACAATTAAGACTTAATAAGATTTAACTTATATCGAAAAAATTTACACTGGAAATATATTTATATTTCATATCTGCAATATTTTCATTTTGCCTAACAGTAAAATACCAGTTTTTATACAAAAAATGGTTAAAAATTAGTATAAGTGAATGCTAACTATTACTTCATATACAAACATAAAATGTTAGCACATAAGTGTTTTGGTTTGAACAAAAGAGCAAAATGTGTACGTTTTTCGGCATCCAGCAAGTCCGAATATATCTTCGTCAGATCAAAAAAAAAAAAAAGGATTTGTAAAATCTAATAGTAAACTAGGGAGTATAATAACCAAAAGGTAGAATTTTTTCCAATATATACTAGGAAAAAAATCATTCCATATAGTCGTTAAAACTTTTCACTCAATCATTTAAAATACTATGGCATTTCAGTTTTGCTTAATTATTCAGTTTAAAAAGTCAAATGTCTATTCAATCAAATTTTGTATGCGACAAAGATTATTTTATACTGGTCGATAAAAATAGTAATACGTAATTTTATATAATTAAGCATAGTTAACAACTACAATGACTTGAAAGGATTATACATTATTCTATGAAGTTATTAAAACTTGCAACCCATATAGTACATAATAGACAAAGAAACATTTAATCACGCGTCACTACAGTGAGACATTAACAAACCGAAAAAAAAAATTAAGTGCTGAACAGTTGTGACCAGCGGAAACTATGGTTATTATGGCAAAATTCACGCTTCATCTCTCTTGAAACTCATTAACTCATTCGAAACAAGAGATATTTTTTACATATTCACAATAAGAAAAATTATTTACTGAAAAATTATTTTCGACAACACAATTTTGTTGAATCCTCTACAATATTTCATTCCTTTGAATTGAATCTAAAACTTGAATTAAAAAAAGTGTTTAATAGCCTGAGAATGGTCTTTTAAAATAAAAAGTCAGCACTCATCAATTTCAACTCCATTTCTCTCAACCCTGTATATATGATATACACAGACGAACCTGCAGCTATAATTGGGCTGGCAAAAACTCAATTATGAACTTATGGAAAAATAGAAGAAGTTAAATGACTTACTTGTCACAATATATAACAGATTTGTAAAGTACTAGAAGAATTCTGCACCCAGTTCTTGAATATTGACAGCAAATCATAATATTTTTGAAAATTTCAAGAAAAATAAAACTACAAATAATCCAAGTATAAAATTGATCAATCATAAGTTTCTGAAGTGTAAAAGGAGAAAAAAACTGCTTCTGATATCACACTGTCACTTCAGTTCATTTTTGATTCTTGAAAAGCTTAAAGTATTTGTCAAAGATTAAACAGCACCTTCCTTGGAATGTATTTGGGTATAAAAATAGCAAACCAAATCCACTTTCCTCACCGCTAAGAACTAACGCATTAAATCTTTTTAAATGATTTTTTTTTAAAGATATAAACACAAATTTATACAATTGAAAACAATCCAAACCTAGTATAGGAACAAAGTTCATTAAGACACGAACTCTTAATGAAATAAAGCGAAAAATTACTCGATTCATTTATTCAAAACCTAGGATGAATATCGCAACTGCTTTAGGACGAAAAATTGGTACGCCAGTATTGTGGATCATGATGTGCGTCTGTTAAATCATCGAATCGTGGCGGTTGCTGCGACGGAATTGCTTGATCAATTGTTGATAATACAGAGACCGGCAAACTCATGCCTGCACCAAGACCTACAATATTAAAATTTTACTTTATATAAGTCAAGTTTCAAATTAGGGAAAGAATTGTCAAATAATTACAGCAGAGAGCGAAGGAAACCGAAATATAATATTAAAGAAAAACGATTTATACAATTTTTCTTCTATCTCTTATGACATGTACTTGGGAAAAAATATTCAAGTGGAGAAGGGATATTTTCAGAGAAATTAAACAAATTGAAAGGACGCTGCTATCGAAATAACAGTTGATAAGTTAAAAAATGGTTCGACGACCAACGCCATGAACTTCTCAGGGGCCGCGCAAGACATATCTAAATGAAATGCAACAGAGTGATATGCTTCCCTGAATAACTTGGTGATCTTAGTGATTAGTCTGCAGTTAAATATTGTTGTTCATTTTTGCTAAGCACTGGTAGCGTTTAATATTCACAGGTTTAAATCGTTAATAACTATTTTTTGGTATTATCATTTCAATATATATAGTGACTGCTATCCATTCTATGTAGTGATGTAGCGTGAGGCCAATTTCGTTTTTTTTTTTTCTTTTCTTTAAATGAAAAAGTTAATTGTTTTTCGACAATACATATGAGTAAAGACAGTGATCATGTCATACTGAAGAAAATTTTCATTGCATACTTTCAAAAAATGACTGCCATAACCATAAAAGATGATTTGTAACAGACCAAAAAACAGTTAGAAACGCTTCCATGTTTTTATCTCGAAGTAATAGGAAAATTCTTTTGGGCCGGTCAAGCGAGACGGCTCTTCAACCACTGACAATTCGATTCACACAAAAACTTCTAATTAATTAAAGGAAAACATATTTGATATTCAGAAGCAAGAAATTTAAGAGATTTTTGCAACAACCTAATTTAAGGTTTTGAAAAATTATATGTTGAGAAAGTAATTTAGATTTATAAAATTTCTAACCAAGGGATATCTTTTACTCAGTACATATGTATATATATATATATAGGTAGTAGGTATTTCCTCGCAACTGGAGATTATTTCGGAAAAGTTGTGAAAAAGAAACATTATTTCAGAAAACATAGGAGAAATATACTTGACACACACACTGATGACATGAATTTTGGGATCTTTTGAAAACATAATTCAAAATAAAGTACGCAATGTTAAAAATGAAATGTTTAACAAAAAAGCACACATACCCGGTTACCCTTCTACCATTAATTTTTACCTCTTGATAAATGACAACTACATTCAACTTCAAAGACCTTTGCCGACTATTTCTCACTAAAAGTTTTAATGCTGCCATGTGTTGTCACGCAATCTTTCTTTTTTACCCGGATGTCTCAGAACTATTTTTTAGAAAATTTTTAGAAGTTTTGATGATTTTTCTGAAGCATTAGTTTGTACCTCTTTTTAAATATTTTCTCAAATATTTACTTTGTAGTTTTCCTGAACATTTCCTCTTTGAAGTTTTCCTACACCTCATTTTGCTTAACTCAATGAAATTCAGTTTTTTATATTGGCTGTTATTTCTTTAACCAGATCTGAGGTGAGAGAACACATAAGAGAACAGCGCATTATAACGTTAATATCCAGATTTTAACAGTTCCGTCCAAAATCAAAGCGCAAAATTAAAATGATATTATTACCGTCTGTTTTTCTAAATTGCTAAGATCAACAATGTTTCAGAATTTTTCTGTTAAATTCAATATCTTTAGCAAAGATTATTCTGAAAAAGCACATTAGAACCACGGAAGATAGAGACGGAAACTTTTTATCGTTGTATTGCTTTAATGCGATTAATTTTACAGGTGATTTTGCGACAATCCATATAAAAGTTTGTAAAGTTGTATCATTACTAATGATACTTTCAATTTTTCAAACGCCACAGAGTTTTGCTTAATTTATTGAAACCTTTTGGAAATTCTTGAAATTTAGTGAAGCCTGATATTCAAAGATGCGTTATTTTAACAGAACTTAGTCAACAGGAAAAATTGCTCCGTTATTTATATAATAAATATTAATAAGGGAATAGAAAGAGAACAGATGTTAAACTAAACAATAGAGAATTTTTTAAGAAATATCCTATAAACTACAACGTTTCTATGATCAATCGGTTGCAAAAGAAAAGAATTTTAGGTAAAAAATGCACCATCCGAATATATCTGTTAATGAAACTAACAAATTCTTGTGAATTTAAGATTTTTAATAGATTTATGGAATGAAAACACTTCAGAGCATACCACCAACGTTGGAGATTGAAGAATGGTTCATTGTAGAAGCAAATGTAGGTGGTGCACCTGGCTGAACTGTTCTAGTATATGGCTGAAATAATATTAAATGCTAGTTCAAAACTCTTTCGACTGACGGGAGTAGTTTGAAAATTCAAATGAAAAATTCCTTCTTTATTATTCAGTCATTATTGACTAGTTTGATGAATATTAACCTATTATAAGGGAATGAAAGAAGAATCAGCTAGTTTTTGAGTGAATAACTGTTAAACTTAAAATTTGCTCAATAAAACTAGGCAAATGTCGTGATTTCGAATTCATTTACTTTTTTCAACAATAATAATGAAATAAAAATTTAAAGAAGCTTAATAAGTAAAGTTTTAACAATATTTCAGTAGCGAATATAAAATTTTTAATTGGTCACGTTCGCCATTAGTGAAATTCTGTAATAAAAAGTCTCACATGAAAAGCATCGTAAGGTGACCTTCCAGTGCCAGAAAACATATGATAAGAACTAAAATCAGACGGATGTTGTGGTGCTCCCATTCCTAATCCAGCGTTTGCAAAGCTGAAACTTTGTAAGGCATTGTAAAGACATTTTCTGAAGTATTTGTATGTATTTTCATAGATAACATTTTTGTTAGTTGATAAAAATGCTTGAATAAAATTCATACTAAAAATATGATGAACTTACCTGTAAGGATCCATCGTAGGTTGCGATAAAGGATACATTTGTGTGCTGGAAGGAGCAAAGTTACTGCTAATAACCGGATTATTAAACCTTGCTGGTGTAGTAGTTGGACTACTACCCAGAGGTGTACCCGTGCTTCCAGGATTTAATAAGCTACCTGGAAAAATAGTTCAACTTATTTAGAAAATTATATGTGTATTTTTATAAATAATACATCTTGAAGTTTATGCAACTAGCATATATTCAACTCAGATAATTTGCTTCACTAGAAGCTGTCATGAGAAAAATGTCAAAATGAATCATAGTAAGAAGAAAAATGTACAGAGAAACAGCGGTCAGAAAAGTGATCATAAATGAGAAAATATGAATAATATATTTATCGTATCTAATAAGCATGTTATACAACCAGCGTAAAACTTCAACCCACAGAGAAAGCATTCATTTATTGATCCTCAGTTTTCTCTTATGTTCAAAAAAAGAATTGAATAATTTTTCAGCCAAGAACTACGGTAATTGACCTTGTGTTGAGCCGGAACTGCCGGCAGCGCTATTAGCACTGACATTGGAACTAGCTGGTGCCATTGCTGTATCCATACCTGGCGGTCGTTTTTGATTTCTTAGCTTTTCTTCACGACGCCATTTAGCTCTCCTATTCGAAAACCACACCTGCAATCATAAGTTCAATATTTAGTGCCATTTTAATGCTTCCAATATTATACCTTTTAAACCAAGGGAGCGTCACTTATTACAATTTGATACCTAAAGTAATTGGAATTTTTGCCCTCATAAATCCAAACATCATTTAATAAATTTAATCCGGCGAGATTTCTGAGGTCAATTTTCTTGTCGCAAAAGAGTAACTTCTGGTTGAAAAGAGGTGGAATTACGAAAAGAAGTAGAAACATAAATAAAATTAGTAGGATTTTATTTATACAAATAGTCTGTGAGATGTACTTGGTGAGATCACGACTCGTTTAACACAGTCAGCGAAATCATTAAACTGCATAGCTGTATGTACTTCTCTTAAAATCTAGCAACCCAATAAATCAATTGAACTAATTTTTTGGTCGTAAATCATAAATTTATCAAATGCAAATAAAAATGGTCAAAGAGTGAATAATACATAAGTTAATTATATTATTCAAACTGAATGCTATTGTTTAACAAAAATTTTATTTATGCTATGTCTGATGCTCTTCTTTATGTTCCAACAAGAAAATTATTTCCAGAATTCAACATTTCAAACTTTTCAAACCAAAATTGCCCTTATTCTTTTTCTCAATTAATTTAAATGCTCTTAACCAATATAGATTCATAGATTCCATTGTTAACTGAACATTTTAGTTTTTAAATAGAAGGAATCAATCCTTTCCAGATGCCTTCGGGACGTTTTTGATTTCGTCAAAATAATCAAACCATGTTAATGCAGCAGGTGGTGATGAGCATTGTATACGGTAATGAAACGTTAATACATAATTTTGACGTTCATCAGATTTTTTTGTTCTATTATTTGAAATGCATACTATTCAGTTATGAAGAAGTAGACCAATAATATCATTCATGTACTTAAATCAAAAGAAAATGTTAGTAAAGAGCATTAATCTTAGACAGTTCAGATGATTCAAAATTCATTACTGGACGTGAAATCAATTTCAGGATTGTAGGATTGATCAGAATTTTCTTTTTTTTTTTTTTTTTTTTGAGAGCTATCATCAAACACAGTTCTTTAATTTTGTTTTTTTCTTATAATTTGATGCTAAATTAGTTAATCCATTGTAGCTCTCTCTCTCTCTCTCTCTCATTTAATATCAAATCTCTTTAGTTCATCAGTAAGAAAAGTTGTCTTAGTAGGAAAAAACGAGGCCTTGCATATGAATAACAATATGTTTATACCTGTATGCGCGCTTCAGGTAAACCGATCTTTGTAGCCAGTCTCTCACGAGCAAAGACATCTGGGTAATGTGTCCTCTCAAATTCTGAAATAATTTGAGTGTGACGAAGGGGCAATAACAAAGATTTGAAACATGCACAAAGCAAGATTAAGATTTGGAAAAATAGAATGCTGTCCAAAATATCGAAACAATTCAAATGAAATGCGCAATATTCAGTTTTGGAGAAAAAATTCATTTGAAAATAATTGCTGCATAAACTTTTTTACTTCTTACTAATTAGTTTCCGCAATTTTCAACAAATATCGGTTTTTCACTTTTCAGCAGAATTATGTTGAAAAAAAAATGCAGAAAAAACCTTTTTCTAAAGCTTCAATTTGTTCCTGGCTAAACGAAGTACGATTGCGCTGCAGTTTACGTTTTAACCGCATTCTTGCAGCTGTGTCTTCATCTGGATCATTAGGTGGTTTCTGATCCTCATCTATAACATTTCAAATCCTTCAATAATGTTTAGAAATTTTATTGTGGTAGTAATTTGTATCCTAATTTCAGAATAATAAGTTTCAGATTTGCAAAATAGAAAGAATTTTTGTTAAATGAAATATCTCTTTGCTAAATGAAATATCTCTTTAATAACAGAGTATTTGTTAAAAATGTATAACACGCATGTTTCATGTCTATATGTCAATTCTAAATCACTTTTATAAAGCTTTTAGATCGAAATGGCAGTTTCGGTGTTCTTTTTAAGCATAAAATTTGAGTACCATTCTCAGACTATATCTAATTTATCTCTCATTTCAGAGCATTCAGGCATTTAAATCTTCTGATGTCTTTTTAAACTGCTATACGTTACTCATAGTATTGAGATTAAATTTCATTAATTGTATGAGTTTAAAATACCTGTTGTTATTCTTCCGTTGTTAAAAGTGTGATTTATTTAATGATTTGGTACAGTTTTTCTATGTTTCAAAAAATTAGTTATTGATTCAGGAACGTTAAGCAATATGTGCTTCCTCCGTTTGCATGTATCAGTGAGAAATAGCAAGTATCACAGATAAAAAAGATACGTTAAATAACAAAGCTAGGACAGCATTCCAAATATTTTGATAACAATCGAAACAATTGGTTGTTCCCTTCCCGTTACTGATGAACAAATAGAAATAGAAATTATTTGGTAAAGAAATGATGCTGTCATCAATCCTTCTGTTTCTTCATTCTTCCTTTCTTTCCCTGCCTTTCCCGCTGATGGATGAGTATGGCAGTGGCGGTGATGTTGCCGCTGCTGTTGATTTATGAGCTCAAAAGAACATGATCACCTGTCACCACCTGGATAGTTACATCTTAGCACTAGCTACAGTATCAAGTAATCCTAAATTTATGAATCTCTCTGATTCAGTAATCGATAATACCTTATTCAAACAGATGCCAATTTCCACCCCTTTTTTAAGTACCCTTCATAAAATGCAGATGATTTTTTATATCCATGCCATAATAGGCTATTCGTGAATCAAATTATCGTGTTACTTTCGTTAAGACAGTGAGAAGTATCCAGAAATTCATTATTGCGCGCCTTTCGATGATCTGCCGATGCATATTAGGCATGACCGTACACGAATCTTCTGAAAGAGACTCGAAATTCCAACTATTAAAATGTTTCGTTTAATTTATCTCCTGCTTAAGATATCGGTAATTAGGTGGCAGTAATTCCTACTTCTAATGAGCATAATCGTTTCCAAATTTTTTGAAGCTTCTTGGGATATTCCTGTCATGCTTCTCTACATTACCAGACTTCTGCAGCCTCCTCAGCACAATCAAATGTTACATCAAAATTTGTTATAAAATTGCAAATATTAAAAACGAGTCTAAAAACTACGAAGATACAAGAAAATACTAATAGCAATGTGCAGGACAAAAGCAGAGTGTAGTACTACCAAAAGAAATATTACAGAATGGAAGTTGAAGTTACCTTGGTACCCTAGGAGTTTATAGTTCTTTTTTCACCATCAGTATTCTTCGATATGAAGACTAAATGATTTCATTTCCTTATATCCTGGAGAAAAAAAACTCAGTGGAAAGAATACATGCTGAAAGTAATTACCAACAATTGATTTCCAGTACACGATGTTCCTCGAAGAAAAAAGAGCAATTTTGGACATAGCAAGAATGAATGGAAGCCTACCAAGTTTATTCAAATTTTCGATAGTTTTTTCTACCGCAACTGATGAACTGTTATACATTACACGTGCTTTGAAATTTCGATGGAAGTAACAGCAGAGAGAGTTTGAAAGTAAAGTGATCGAAGCACGCGATAACCAACTGATACCAAATGATCTGTATATTTGTGAGTGGACATAAATTAGCGAGCGACAGACAGCGACAAAATTTTGTTGTAAAGATGGATGAGGCTGAGGGATGGAGAGGGGAGAAAGGAGTCTAAGGGGAGCATGGTGTGTGAAAAGTTCAAATTCGTATTGGGGAATGGGTAGTACTATATCACAGCAAATCAGTGATGCTCGATGGGTTGTACCTCTTCTTTTCCACTTTTCCCATTCCTTCTCATCTTTCCCCCGCCCCGCACTACCAAACTAACTGTCCTGCAACTGAATCAAATCTTGTTGTTGTAATAAACGATCGATGTTATACTATAATGCTATTTATTGCATCACATTTTATCATTTTTCTACTTCATTACCAGTTTATTTCAAATTCATGCCCATTATTTCCAGTCTATTTTATTTTTGGAATACAATTACTTCTTTCCCTCCAAACCCAACATTTTCACTAGAAATTGACTAAAAAGCTTTTATGCTATCAAACTGATATAAAATTTTAGAACTGCTGTCTTCAGAAAAAAAATGAAATAGCATTCTTTTCATCACTACTAGAGCTATTTTATTCTTTTCTGAAGTTTTAAGAGAATGTGATGCAATATAGACTGAATTCAAGTTGAAAATCATTACTAAGAACAGTAATAGCACCATCATCATGAAATGTGTCAACTTGACTGATTAGATATGAATAGTTATCGCTGACATGCAATCGCTGCCATCGCAACGCATCTCACTCAAAACACTCAACTGCAGTCACATATCTGAACTTAACCTCCCTTATATTTTATATTCAAGTTGCTACTCTGTTATGGCCTTAGGCGGTTTAATAAAAAATACATATCATGGAAATTTTCAACAGCTGAGGCCTGTAAGCTGGAAGTTTAATCTTGGGCTACTGAAATTATGAGCATTAACGACTCCATCGTTTCTAGATCACGTTTTTCCGTCTATAATCATCAATCACTCAGGAGCAATGCATTATATACTCACTTTTTTTGAATCATTCACTCACTAAAATCTTAGCTAATCAGAGATACCAATATCTAATTATAGAAAGCCATAGTTTTTGGAAGTCTTAATTTTATGGCATCGTTTTGATTTTCATTTGCAATCAGTTTATGTTATTTCAATTCGAAAGACGAAATAAACTTGTGCTCTTCTAGCTTCTACTTCAGGACAGTCCAAATCTATAGGTTATTCTCGAGTTAAAGACATGACATGGATTAGTTTTTTACAGCTTAAAGTGCAAATCGGCATATGCTTGAAATTTTCGCAACAAAACCAAAATATTTGTTAAAAGAAAATTTCAGTAGCTGAAAATATAATCACAGCAGTAATTGATAGCTTGCTGCTATGAATTAATTAAGAGAAACTTCAGTTAATATGATCATGAAAATTTAGTACAAATTAAGAAATTGGTTAAATAAATTCTATTATCATACCAATAAAAATTTATCCGTAATAAAAATCTGATACTGTAGCAAATCAGCTGATCAAAATTAAAGAATTAAACAACTTTGCTTACAATTTCAATTTGCATTTTATAGTAATTAAAAAGAAGTAAACTATTACAAAATTTCTTTATTGGTTCTTTGTCTTAGAAATTAAAATGCTGTTTTGGAAACAGGTTGTTGTGTGCTAGAATATATACGTCGTTCATTATTAGAAAAAAACAAAGATTCTGTCATCTACATACAGTAGGAAATTTCCGGAGAATTTTCGTAATTTCTTTCTGTGCATCTAAAATACAACTTACATTGTCGGCCTATGTCATTTTTGCTATTAACTTGAGAAGTTAAAGATCAACAAAGAAAAATGGTATAAAAGAAAAAGCTTTTGCAAAAAGATGTCAGGAGACAAATATTATTGCAGAAACGAATTAGCTGTTGAAAAAGTGATCGGCTGGATGTTTTAGCAGCAGTGTTGTTTATAATAGCTGTTAGATAATAATATTAATAATAGCACTAATTATCGTGATAGTAGTGGTAGCACTAAGATTGGCTGTAGCACCGATGTGCTGAATGCTTAAGGTTTGAGAATGGAACACTTATTGAATGTGAGAAATGTGTAAATTTTGCATTTCAGCTATCTGATCGAATTATGATAATATGCTCAATGTGGCAATTTTATTTGGCAAAACTTAAATTGATTATTCAAGATCATAATTTAATTATTTATGCCTCTTACAAAAATTAGCGGGGAAATTTGGAAGAGTGTTCTTCTTAGAAATTAAAAGTGCTCATGTGTCTTATCATCGTCACCGATATGCCTCAAACAATTCTTGATTCTCAATCAAGTCAATATAGGCTCTTAGAAATTTCTCATCCTTCATAGTATTACAACGGAAATATGATAAGTATTATATTAGGAAATGCGATGATTCCATATTAAAGTCCAGCAGAATTATAAAACTCCGAAAACAATACCATTCGGGTTGTTGGGTAGTTCAGTCTTATTTTTTGTAAGTAATAGAATGGAGCAAAAAAAGGAAAGATTTAGACTGAATGAAAAGTTAGAATGAAATTAAGTTGTTTGATAGGTACTAATAACAAAAACAGCTGATGAATGAAGAACGAAACTCACTCTGCATTTGTAATGGATATTTGAAAATGGTGATTGGGTGCTGTTTAGGAGCCAGACCCAGATACTGAGCTACTGGAAATGGAATAGCTAAGCAAACGGAGTCCAGGCCTGCCGTAGAAGCAGTGTGGGTTCAGGAATATAAATTTGATGACAGTGATCGTGTCGCGAGGAGCAAAACAGGTAAATGGAATAGAAGAAAAATATCACAATGAATTACTAAAAGTGCCTCTTGAAAATATCATCTGACTTCGCTCTCCTAAAAAAGAAGAAAGGTACGGGAAAAGGAGGGACAGAGAACACATGGGACGTATAAAGCAACCAAAAATAATTTCCGGTTGCAGGTATCGGGGCCTCCGCGGGGGATACGGTAGTTTGCCAATATACACTTCTCCCGGTCGATGGATACGATACGAGCTGTGCTCCCATACAAACATGATGATGGATTGCTTTGGTGAGAGAAAGTGATTGACTAACTGATTGAATAACTGACTAACTGACTCACTGACTTCATCGCTCATGGCGATCGGGTTCCGTACCCCTTTTAATCTGTGATACTGCAGCTATATCGGTGCGGTAATGGTACTGATACCGACACTGACCTTCAGTTTACTAAATGGATCACAAATAACCCATAAAGCAGTATTATCTCAAAAAAATTGTTACGGTTAGCGTCGCAAGTATGAGGCTCTGCGTAAGAACGTGCACCAAATTACGAAAGTTATGTACTGGCTAATAATTATGCTGTGAATGGTCTCCGCGATGTGACACTTCGACACATTCCCTCCATTATTTATCTGTTGAACACAAGAAGGAAAGCAATGACTTAATCGCTCTCACAGCCGTCAGTTCTCGACATCTTCATCACGAACTCAATCAAAATCTCGTCAAGTTATCACTTCTAACACCAAAAAATCCTTAAGCGTAGGCAAGATAACTTTTACATTTTGCTGTTTTGAGATCTAAGGATTACTGCTTATTTAATAGCTTTTTTGATGGCAGTTGTTTGTTAAAAGTCAATACTTGGCTATTAAAGATGTACAATTACTGGCTTATTCTTTATTAATCTATGTTAACTTTGATTAGAATAAGAGAAAATAAGTATTTTTCATAAAGAGTGCATGATTCTAACAATCGTCTGTATTATCGTCAAATTGATTAGCGCATCTGGCCAAGTTTAATCCCTCCATTTGCTTATTTTTCTTACTGATACGACGTAGCAATCATGGAACTATATGCTCTCTAAACTTTGTCCCAAACTTTTTTTTCAGGAAGTCCGAACTTATGCTCACATCTAGGTTATTAAATGTCGGGATCTGTTACAAACTTCTATTATCACACAATATTATATCAGAAGAAATACACTGCTAAGTGGGACACGGATTCCACAGAACCACAAAGAATCCATTTATTGCCGTTACTTGAGAAGAACAATTTGCCACAATACATCCCACTTCTGGTTTCAGGGATATGTATGTATGTGCGTGTGTGTGTGCATGTGTATGTATGTGCGTGTATTTGTGTGTGTTAATAGTGCGCGTGTGCCTGTGTCTATGTGTTTGACGGAATATAGCGGATGCATCCACTCCAACCTTTCTTCCCTTCCCTCATCATCCTCCTCTTATTTCCGCACATCTAAAAATGGAAATCATTTAATGGGCACGTCCCTCGTCCCTTTTAAAATGAAAATGAGTCTCGCCAAAAACAGTTGAGTTACTTCAACTCCATGATTCCTTCCATCTTTATGTCCCTCTTTGTATTCTCCAGAATCCTTTAGCTTGGCATGACCCTGGAAATTATATCATTCAAAATAACCAGCAGTTTCAGTTCCTCTCATATATGCAGTCCAGAATGATATCTTCAAATACATTATTCTATCAGTTGAATTTCATTTCCGCAAGATTTTTTCTTTCTTGGCCTACCTGATAGAGATGACAAGATTGATCCACCTTACGGAGCAGCCGCACATGCGCATTCATGGCTGTCTCTATAATTTTTGAAGGATGTGGATCTTAAATAACAACAAAGTCTTGCATGTGTTTATACTTTAAAAATGTCTTCTTCGCGGAAATGTTCTTCAAACCTGACTTGAAAATCGAAATTGTTCAATTGTCGCGCATTTATAACTGTATTCGCAAAACTGATTTCCCATATCACTTTGAGCTCTACACAAAGATATATGTTATTAGCAACATGGCCTATACAAATAAGTTGAAATCGCCTGCGCACTTTCGATAACCGGAGTATTTCAGTAAAATGAAAAAAGATGATGGGACATTTGAATGGTCTTTGGTTTGCATGTCTTATCAGCCTTGCAAATATTTTTTGGAAAAGTTCTACGCTCCCATTTAACTATATGCAGTGATATCAAATTAATACTTACTGATAAGACTGATAAGTTTCATTCAATGCGAAAATTTAAACTGATTCATAAAACTATTTGCTCTGTCTTGTTCTTAAAGCCAGAATAACCAATTTAAAAGTTTCCTTAAGTTCCGAAATATCGGCCAGTAATCCTCATAACACCAAACAGAAATTACTTGTGAAAAACAAATCCCTTTAGTATAAAACGGAGAAGTTTCTAAAGATGCAGATTTTATTCTGCCTAAATTCAAAGGATATTAGAGCAGGAAGAGAAACAAGTTTCCATCATTAGGTATGACAGTAGTGAATCACATTCATACACATACACATACACATATATACATACATCTACATACACAAACTTACGCACATTTACAAGCACGCGTTCCCTGCATGCGCACGACTCACTGAACATCTTCCACTTGACGTTTCATTACAGCTCTCTTGCCATCGAAAGAAATGGCAAATGCAAGTTCATTGCAGTTTTAATTGTGTCGGCCTATTCTGCTACTGCTCATTGTTTTGTTCAAATAGTAGTTGGAACTGAGTTTGCAAAGATTGAAGGTTAACACAAATCTGAAACTTCCATAAATGGAATCACGAATTTTGGACAAATAAAACTCCGTGTTTTAGGCAAAAGACACAATAATCGAGAAAATATAGTCTGGATGAAGTTTCTGTAAGATAGATTGAAAGTCATTCACCTCACCTAAACAGTAAATCACTGAAACTATGCATCTCCACTGCACTGTTTTTATTTTTACTTGCTCTTTCCATTCTACTTCAATTTCAGTTATAATCGTATATAAGAGGAGATATCTAGAAAGCGAAATAGTATTTGATATATGATACGTAATGTAGGTGCAAATAATAAAATACTTCCCCTCTGGAAATATAAAATAACGAACTACTACTGTTCACATGTAGTCTTATGCCAAATCATTGCATGTAGGATTTGATGGGAGCAGTCAACCAAGAGATTCCAGTAACGTAACTGATACAGTCCAGCATCATCAGCAATCTTTCTCTTCGCTATATTTCAAGTGTTACGATCGCTTAAGAAATAATAATAATAACAATGGAAAGGTTTAAAATCATGAGATATTGATTGAAAATGATTCGTGTCTTACGGCCTGATAAATCAGGTTTAGAAACGGCATTACAATTTGCAAGCCAAAAGTTGAGAATTTTCAGAAAGACATTTCAACACTCTACAAGTCCAGATAAGATGTTTGATCTTGAAAACAGAAATAACGATGTTTCAAGTAATTTGAAGAGTCACTGCACTAAATTCTTATTCAAATTTCCTTAGCGCTTTGGGAAGGGTATTTCAGAATCCTTAATCATCTGACGTATATGAGATTTCATATTGCAATTTAATTTTGATAATAGATTTTAGAAAACTATAGATCCTTGCTGTTATTTTACAGGAAACAGTAATACTAATGTTAAACTGTACAAGATTTGGAATATTTCCTGGAGTTCGAGTTAACAAGAAGCTTTCTTTAAGTTCTAAATTATTTCCAAAAGATAGACGTAAAAATTCTTTTATTGATTTTTTTTCGAATATTTGGTAAAATTTTAAGGATTAAATATTGCTCACTGATGCAAAAGCTTTAAAAATCTTTCGATAAATTCAAAAATCTAAACTGACAGCAAAGCATCGAAATGTCATCAACTATCTATATCAGAATATTGCACTGCGCGTCCTCAAACACTTAACTGCTGCTTTTGTGGTTTAGTTTCGGCGCCACTTTGTCGCCAAAAAAATGCGAGATTTACAGAAATGGAAAATACGATAAGGAAATACTTTGCCTTTAATGAAAATCTTTTAAAATGTTTAACACTAACTACAATTTAAAGGCTATGGTAAGAGTACAAATGTTGGATGCATCTATTAAAACAAAATGTATATCATGAATTTATATGCAATCTTCAGAGCTGCATTAAACTTTGGAAAAAAAATAATTCTAATTGGAAGACATAAAAATATTTGGTGAACAAATAGTACATTAAAGCTGATAAATTGGTGAGAAGTAATGTAAGTTTCCAACGTAAAGTTGAAAGAATTTTACAACTGAAAATCAAACATTGGTAATCAAAATTATTAATGGGAAAAGTTTGCCAATTTTCACACTTCGTAGCGATCACAAGATTTATGTTTTCATTTATTAAAAAAAAATTTCCTAGGCACTGATTTTTTTCTTCAAGCACTTTGATTACTGATTTATGACTTAAACAATATCTGTGTTTCCAAATAACTCTCCTGATTCCATTTGTTTTCTCTGATGGCTTTTTCCGTTATTAGTTATCAGTATCAGCCTCTGCAATCACTTGTGAGTATAAAAAATAATAATGAACCTTACTGGTTTTAGAAGTGTACCGTAATGCATGTATAAGGTGAAACATGATGATTTGAACTACATTTTTCGTCGTCAAATAGTCGTCAATACCATTAATGGACATGCACTATGCTGTTTGAAATTTCTGTTCAGTTTACTATGATTTGTTTCCGTCGAGGCCCATTAATCATTTTTTGAAAAGATTAAATGACAAATGTATCCAAAATGTACTGTTGCGTGTATCTGAATTATTGTATCTGAGTTATCTGAGTAACTTGAAAAATGCGTCCTAATCATTGTCTCTAAATAAAAAGTTTTGCTCCTTTTCATTGTAAAGGAATGTCACTTTTGGCCGCTTTTTCTTCTTTGTTGATTGAACTCAAAAAAGTAGTAAACTTTAATTGTTTAGAATGGACATTAATTAGGAATGACATATGTCAGGTGCTGTTGGGCTGATACAACACATACGCACACACATACCCTGCACATACAACATACATACATGCATGCATACTTACTCTTTCTGATATTAAATTGCTTCCAGTTCATTGATATAACAAAATTTTCATTAACAAGAGAGAAATTTATGAAGTATATGAAGAAAAGCAAAAACCAAAAAAGATATCAGTAACTTGACATTTGTAAATGGAAAGTATTAAAATCTGTACTAGTCATCGTGATCACTGATTATTAATTACTTGACGATTATTAATTACTATCTGAGTGTTTATTAATTGCTGTTTACGCCTCGCAATTAAATTGTCGCTTCTTTTAAACTACTAAATTAACAATTCTTTCCAACCGCCTTTGTAAGTACTGTACCAAAGAAGCTTACCAGAATCTTTCTTATTAATATGATTTGCCTGTGTCAGGGGTGGCAACTGCGCTAAACCGACGGCACCAGGTACACCCATCGGCCATTGATTGTACCACTGGGTTGAAGAATATCGCAGCGCCCGATCGTAGAAATCATTTTGCATCGCTTGCTGTTCCTTTTTTGCAGCTAGATTTCGCAGTACTCTGTTGATCGACGACACCTGTAGAAAGAAGAACGTTTAAACTAGTATAAGTGGAATATGTTAGATTAAAAAAAATATCAAAAAAAAAAAAAAAAAAATCATTCTGAGCGGATGATTTCAGAGTAATCAAACACAGAAACTGCCATTTTGAAAAGATTTAACAATGGAGCTGGAAAATTTTTTCGAACACTGAATTAGTTATTATGAAAAAATTTCATATACATAATCAAAAACTGAATATGTTATTAAATATATGTTGCATAGTGAAATTACTATTATAATATGAAACCACAGTTGAAACACTTTGCCATCAGCTAGAATTGGACTTGAAATGTACTGCTCGTGCTAGGCTTATCTCATGTTAATCAGTAAAAAATGAAGTGAAACATGTATGTCACATCCTCACCATCGAGGTCACACCACCTTTAAAATACGCACATGCAGACAACTACCCATGTTTTAGCTCTTCCGATTGAGCGTATAGTAATTGCAATAAAACCCTATTTTATGACAATTGTGCGCTGGAATAGTCACCCTATCGCATAATCATCTTACTCAAATTTTGATATGGTCAGGTGGCAGCAGAAGAAATAGTAGTATGGAGAACAGAAAATTATGTGAATTTGTGCAAGGACTACTCTATCCAGAAGTTAAAAATTTGAAAACAAGTTAAACATAATCAAAACCACTTGCCTTAATCACCTGCTTTTCTGCAACTCGAATTTCTCACATTTAAAAAAAGGAAATCAAGCATACTTCATACTATCTTGAAGTTTAGTTTTCAGTTCAGCGAACCCAAATACTTGATTAAATTAAGCAAACCTTGCAACTCCAGATCATGGATTATTCTTTTCCATGAATGGAACCATAAAAATCCACAATTGCTCATTCACAAGAAAAAATTTATCGAATCTTGGTTTTATTTGGGAAATTATACAATCTCCTATAATTAATTATAGTAATGATCTGTTATAGTATTAATGAAATGGTATTGTGATTTAATGCTTCCTTGTACTTCTTAGTATGATATTTCCTGCCTTATAATGCTTTGTTAGTCGTTTTGTAATATCTATATAGATTCAGTAGTGATATAAAAAGAAAGAAAAAAAGAAAGACAAGAAAAAAGGAGGAAGTAGGAGACAAACTGAAGTGTGACTATTGTAACCTTTGAGCCTAATACGAGATGCATTTTAGTCTTAAGAGCATGGACACTCCATCTTAATGGATAGTTTTCACTCATTCTATAAATTTTTAAAGAAATTTTTAATTCCTTCCAGTTATTTATGTCTTTTATCAAAACAAAAAAAAAAAAAAAGAATAACATCAATCACTTCACTAACTACTTTGTTAGGTTCACAAATTAAGTAACCTTTTTATTTCCGAGACAAGAAAATAATAAATCAACCAACAAATTGAAAAATGTGAGACGATGTAAACAGTCTCGAATAATTATACCATTTACTTATTGTAATGAAAGTGATACCTGATTATTTGCCGAGTACTACGTGATGACATTACTACATTTTCTAATTATTTACCAGATATTATTAACTAGACAAATTTCTAAAAGAAATATTTTTTATTTAAAGTAATAAAGTTGTTTTAACCATAGAATCCCAGATTTGTTTTATTTTGCATATAATCCTTTTAGCCTTATTTTAATTTAGTAACAAAATAAATCATTGATCTAAAATGGGTAAATCACTGCATTTGCTAGTTATTTTAATACAAAAATTTTGTCAAATGTCGTTGTTTAGTTTAGAAAGAAGTTCTTCGTATTCCCAAACTAATTCAGTGTAATTGAATTTTAAATTAATTAAAAATACCTCAAATTATACAAATAACTTTTCACTAGCATATTAAGTATGCACTGTAACTGTAATACTTGCTGTTAAACTTTTAAAAGTCTTGTTTTCATCTAGATTTTTGCTCTCTAATTCATTTTTTTACTAGCATGGGCAACTAATCTGAGATTTAATATTAAGACGTGTGCCACTGTCGAAATTTCACAGCAATAATCGCAATTATAACAAACTTGTTTTGTTATAATAAATAACAATGCTGGTCACTATTAGTGCTAAAATTCAGTCTAATTTGCTAAATGGTAATATAAAGCGATCCAGTAGGTTACTGTTTTGTTTTGCATAATTTATGACAATTATAGCTTCAACTACAGCCTTAAAAGACTTATCTATTAAAGCACTGATATTGCCAATACTGTTATTTTACCAATAGTTTTATCAATAGTTGTATTTGATTCATTGCTGTATTTCCATGTTTAATAGGAGTACAAAAATTGATGATAGGAGGAATTTGGGACGAAATTTTCGAAAATGGTAATCAAATGACTAATTTAAGTTTTGGAAAGATTCAAAATTAATTCGGTTATTATAATAGAAATCTTTCGTGTATGCCACAGAAATTCGCGAAACAAAAATTAACATAATGCAATGGCTATCAGCACTTACAAGTTGTATTATCAAGGAGAAAGATGAAATTAGATCTCAACTTTTAACTTTAATGGAATTCAAATTTAAAGACTTAATCCAAAATGTATTGAAGACAACATAATTCATAATCTAACATTACATTTCTCGGAATAATATAATTCAATTAACTGCTTGCTGAAATTTTTCACAATGCTAAGTTATTTAACATCATTAAGATTTTGTATTTTTCTAATTTAAACTGAATATGTTTAACCTTTAAATTCTGAGAGAAACATAGCGTTTGAAGGAAATTATAAATTTAAAGACTAGAAATTTAAGAAATATTATTTAGATAGTGCAAAACTTACGCTAGGTATTGTATCGGGGGAGCACACCTTCTCGTGTAATAATTTATCCCGTATTTCCCAAGCAAAAATGGAAGGTTGTTCGCGTTTGTAACTTTCAATTTTATCGCATACACTGACTGTCGCAACACGAGGTTTTGAGCCGCCGATTGCTCGTGGTCTAATTGTACCCGATTCGTAATATCGACATAGAATTTTCGATACACAGCTGAGAAATTCGTGAATATAAAAACAGCTAAAGCTGTTTATTATTAATAAAGCAGCATTCGATTTTAAAATTTATTCGAAAGTGGAAAAAAAAGGAACTTTATTTGATTAGCACAATATGAATTCATTTGAAAATCATTTAGACTTAGCATTGTAAACTTGCCGAGATAAAATGAAATCCAAACAAATACTATGTAACTGACAAAACATGGTTTTCATGTTTTCATCAGTTTGAGCGATCTGAACAAAACTGTTTTATTGCGTCCTTTACAAAATTATTACAGTATTCACAGGTTAACTGGATCTCGTCAATAAAACTTTCTTCCCAAATTTTTTTGCTGTAACTGCTCAATCATTCAATCCAATGTTTTTCTGTCTGGTCTTACTATGTTACAGCTTAATGAGAAGGTTAAGTTTGTTCTCGAGAAGCTCAAGCTTTAGTGAACATGTTTTTACATTAGATAATAGTTATTTCATGCTCCTTTCCTAACACATTTCCTGTAGCTAAAAAAATAAGTTCTAAAAAAAAGAAATGACATTTCTACCCATTGGAGACTTGCAAAATCCTTGAAATATCGCATGGCCGAGCTCCTTGATGTGCCAAATCAACGATTTTTTGACGTGTTGAATCAGGTAGTGGTCGACCATTAACAAATACACCACCGAGTTGATTAACACCTGTATGTCCAGAATCTACAATCAGTTTCATATAGAATCTAGTATTTAGTAATAATCTATTTGTTTAAACTTTTGGAACTTCATTTCAGACTGAAAACTTAAAAAAAGAGTAAATGGTGAGTAACTATCTGAAACTACAATTGAAAGGGGAAAGTAGGTGATATTTATTACTTCATTTATAGATCGACAATTTATCACTTCATAAACTTTCACAAATATGATTTTACAAATATCCAATGGTAATCAATTTCATTGGTTATATGACTGTAAGGGTTAGCAAATAATTGATTATATTTTTTCTTCTATCCCTTCGCATAAAAGATGCGAAAGCGCAGTTTTTTTTTTTGGTTGAAATTACGTTGAAAAGTACTAATCCTTCAAATTTAAATAGACTATATAAATTGTGTAAAAAAAAATTAGTCGTCAAATATAACGCAGTTTTTTGAAGAATGAAGCTTACATTTTTATTATCTTCCGAAATATAGATGCGTTTATTTTTTCATGTTAATTTGTAAATAAACAAAAAATTAAAAGCAAATTTCTACATGTTGCTTACTAAATTGCTGTCTGACTGACCATTTAGAATGAATTAAAGTATAATATTGTCTTATCCTTGCTAATCATGCTGATTTCAAGAAATTTCAGATATTAATTTTCAAATTTGTCTACAAAGATATAAACTAATATACAACTAACTATGCTTCGGACATGTTTCGGAAATGTTGAAAATCTAACATTACCATTACTTTCAAAGTGTAATGTGTCACTTTAATTATGCAGCATGAAGATTAAATAAGACAAAAAGGATCATCCATTGCAATTTATTTTTACTATTTTCACCAATTTTAGTTCTAGAAGATATTAGTTTAGTCATTTTCCTTGCAGCAAATTCTGATTAATTATGAGATAAATCATTGTCAAAAAATACCTCTCAGAGCTATTAATTATTCCACCACAACAAATACATTGATGCTATACAATAATAATGTGGGAGAAGACATCAAGGTAACACTGTATACTTTCATCGCACTAAATGGGATTAACTTTAACGGGTCACTGCCACTTCTTCGCATTCCTTTTATATTATTCTCTATACAATCCATTTCATTGATTATTATCTCAAATTATAATTTCTTTCTACTCACTCGAAATTAACTCAATAAAAAATAAATGAGCACACAGAGAAATTAATCCTATTAAATTTATTTTCAAATATCTATACTTCTTTGATTGTTCAAACATTTTAATCTGAGTTCTGGAATACTTTTAATTTAATAAAATTGAAATTTTAAGTCATCTTTTCATTAACGTCTTGAAACTAGTGTAATTTTCATTACTACGAATATCGTATAAAAGATGGGACAAAAGTGAAAACCGGGTATATGAGTACTCGAAATGCAAATTTCAAAAATAAAAACCTTTTTTAAGGTACAGGTGACAAAAATTTTGGTTATATGTATAAACCCCCAGATCAGTGCATTGTATACAATAAGATAAGAAGTAGGAGCGCTTCTTGCCGGGAGCATAGAGATACCGCTCTGAACAAAATTAGCATTATTTTAGGATTTAGGCGACTAATCCCTGAAGCGAACACAGCTCGTTCAATCTGCCATATGTTTCATCTTTTTGATCTTCTCATTGAGCTCCAATTAATTCACAAACGGTAACGAATTTATTGTTTAATTAGAACTGGTTTATAAATGTGAACTATGTTGTTAACTAATTGTGATCGTGATATGAAAATTTTTGGAATACTGTTAATAAAGTTTTTCTTATTTCTCGTAACTGACTGATATAAAAATGAATTTAAAGTGAAAAAAACCACCGTGATTGTTTATATCAAAATTCATTTGTTCTTTACCTAAAATGTTTTGATTGACATATTACTAGTAGTAAATTAGTGAAGTAATCATGGCCGATTTCGTCTGCGTGTCAGCTTTATTGAATGAATTAAAATTCCAAAATTGTTAATTAAATCTGATATCCGAATTGGTATTGTAAATAAAAATTCTTTAAGACTAAACGGTGACATCCTAATAGCAAGATATCACTCTCAGTGAGTTAAAACAAGTGTAGAATGCAATGTTGGCTGGTGGTTCCTAGTAAAGGAGTAAATGAGACAAGAAGTTGTTACGCCTATTATCATAAATCTTTCTCGAGAAACAGATAATAAATTGGTCCTGGTGAGTAACCGTTTATATAGATGCTGAAGGAGCAAGTAGCACATCCTATTTTGATAAATTTGATAAAACTAACAGCTGTAAATAAAAATTAGGCTATAATCATCACTTACTGCTAATAAAATTTAACTAAACACAACAGTTCTGCGATGTAGTCTTTTAATTAGTCGCTAAACCTATTTTAATATCAAATTTATATTTCCAAGCAAAGAATGAAATTAGAAAAAAAAAATTAAATAAAATCAAAATTGGATATCACTACATTTTATTAATTAATTTTTAGTGGACGGTAAATAAAATGGCCCTTATGGTTTGATAACAAAAATTTCAGTGATGGTGGTTCAGTTTGAAAACAGTAGCCGCCATGGAATCTGGCTTAACTGTGGGGGGTCCTCTTTCTAGATCGTACGCGCTCTTAGAAGCTCTCATCAATCATTTCCTGGTGAGCTAACTGTCGAGAAATTGGATGAATACTTTTCATCATGCAATCATTAAGATCATCATTTACTGTAAACGTACACAAATAAATATTAGTATTCATAAATATCTTCACTACAAAATTTGTTCATAGCTTGAGATGCTTGCAATGCTACAATAGTCTAACTTTTAACTTTATCTTATTCTTAAAGTTAAAAAGGTCAAAGAAAAGAGCTAGCTGAACAAAATTAGTTACACCAAAATCTTTTCTTTTAAAAAAAAAAATTGAAGAAAAAAAAGAGAGCTGGCTGAAAAATTATTTACTCAAAACAATAGCAAATAAACATACCTCGAAATTGGATACATATCGTGACAAGAATTTCCATAAATTTTTCTGAATGGAAATTTCTAAGTAATTGTCCTAATAACCATAAATTATTTTAGTTTGAAAACAAGAATCGAATTTTAATCACTGTTCCAAAATTGTGCTACATGATTGAAAATAAAGAGCTTCAAAATAGCTTTAAATCTTATCTGGTTTTAATAAAAAGTTTCATTAAGTAATCAGTTATTTTTTTCCCATCATTTTCGCTACTATTATAATGCAAAAAAATTGTTGGAAAATTAGCTAGTTTTCAACCTCTACGGATTCCTTTCTATTAGATTTTCTGACTTTCTTATCAAAAGTCAAGTAATTTTCGGAAAAATACAAGAAGGGGACTGTTCAGTTTATCTTAAGTGGATTACGGTAGCGGTTAATAAGTGTTTCTATTTGCGCATGAGCGTTTTAATTGATCCTTGTGTTTAACTCTTCAAAATTCAACAGTAATGTATTACAGTAAAATGACAGACGGTGTCAGTACTGGAAAAAGACCAGTGCAAAAGTTAATCAATGCAGTCAGTCTCGATTTCAGTCAATCATGGTAATTGATTAACTTGTAGTAGCTTATCAAGAAAATTACGAATTTTTTATTCTTTCAAGTTTTTACATTGCTGATTAAGTACCGAACATGGATATTTGCCATCCTTAAAGAATTCCTAACTGGATATCAGCTTGAACAATTGATGGATATTTTGCCACAGTAATAAACCGCACTATTTTTTAATAACTCAATCTAAATTTTGTCACCTGAGCTTGATGAAAGGAATTGGTAAAGCTTTTCTTATGTCATTATATAAGTCGTGCAACACCGATAATTTTCAATATGATTTTAACCATCTACTATATTTTAAGAGAATTGCTATAACTGTTTCTCGCATTTGTAATTTTTATTACGCAACCCTATTCACTACATAAAATGTTTGAAATTCCGAATGTTGAGAATAGAGACTTATGCTTGAAGAGGCGATGTGCAAATAAGGTGGAATAATTGAGTTGGAAAAGTACAATTTTGGAAAGTATTAAAGGAATCCTAGGCCAAGGAAGTATCTAATTTTAGGGCTCTGTCCTTGTCTGGTAGTATTGGATATCTATTATCACCAGTGGTCTATTTCCAGTGAAATATCTAATCTATTACTGAAAGGGAACTCGGCTCAATCATCATAATGGCCTTTCTTCTCATTTGAGCCATATCTCCCCTTACCTTTCACCTCACCGACATACCTTTCAAACTCAAATTCTATCTAGATACTCTCCCCATTATTTACATATCATGCTCCATAATTGGCCACTACCCACACTATTCAATTCATTCTTATTTCACACTTACACCTTCAATACCATCATACAGTAATCAGACATGATCCACCTATATGTGTTTGTTTCTTTCTGTTATAGAATCACCAAAATAGATGTAGTATAGTTGAATTAATTCGATATTACTGAAATGTGGTAGCTCATTGAGCAAAAATTATTTATCTTCAAGTGATTTTGTGGTTCTATGATACCACTTGCCAGACTGGCAATGATGTGTTATATCATTATGTTTAAATACATCGATGAAAATGTGTTAACAGTGTCATAAATAAAACTGCTTACTTCTTTCCACGTGGACCACTTTAAGTTGTCGGTAAAAGTTTTGACTTCTAGAAGAGATTCACCTTAATTTGGTGATGGAAATGGAGGACAGCACGTTTTCAATTTATCATATGTTTTGTGCAAAAAGTTGTGCTAAGTACAAAGTAAAACACTTATAAAAATCTTCTGAGTTTCTCTGCATAAATTTATGATTTTTTCTATTTTTTATTTTTATTTTTTATTTTTTGATTTGAATGAGTTGCTTCGACCTCTAACAAAGCGGTAGCAAACGATATTAGGTGATTCGTTGTCAGAATGTCTCCAATGCGCTGGTTATCACCTAATGCCAGGAGGGCAAACTCGTTTACTATCGTCAATTCTTTTCCGTGTCACAAAAATAATTGTCATCGTCGTAAATTTCAGGGTAAAAACTGGAAAATTAGCCAGTTCGAAGATGAGGAGGAACAACAGTTAGTA